ATACTAAAAGTATTTTGAATATTAAAAGCCTCTACATTGCATTAACATTGTTCAATATCTCAGTGTATCAAAGGAGCTCTAAGGACATCGCTGACATGTTTTTTTTATGGATGATATCTTTTCCCCAGCTTCATAAACATTGCATATGACTTTTGATTTTATCATTTAGGGATCGATTCAGGACCATGGTCAATGTGATGGGTGACGCCCTGGCCACAGGCATTATGGCTCATATCTGCAGAAAAGATTTTGTCAAAGAAGGGGAGCAGGTGAGACCAAAGCCAAATCAATTAATTCTGAGGTTGTAAACCATCCGTTTATTGTCTTCTTAGGGTTGTCTTGACCTGTGTATGGGGATATTTATCAAGGTTTGAAAGAGAGATAGGCAAGTGGTTTATGGGGTAACATTGAGTGTTTATAACACAGTCATTATTTGTGAAGGTTAGATTTAAAGGTTCAACATTTTGGAAAACACTGTCTGTGATACCACTCACAGACAGTGAGTGGTATCAATCTTCTCTTCGGAAACACTCGGCAATTAAGTTAACAGTTTTTTTGTTCTATTCCCGTCCATGATCATCGCATCCACCAGGTGCCTCTCATCTGTGAAACTAAGCCGATGATAAGCATCCAGCAGATGATGACCTACCAGAACCAGAAGAACGGCTGCTACCAGCCGCCTCCACCAGGCAGCAGGCAGGACCACCGCTCCCCAGACGTGGCTCGACTGATCCAGCTGGAGGAGGGGATCCGGCCGATAGAGAAGAAGAAACACGCTCACTCTTCTCATCACAAGAGAGAGCACAGAGACAAGGATCACTGTTCCGTTGATATGAACGGCCTGGAGACTAATGTATAAAACAACAGCTACTGGCTCGTCCACAACTGCAGTGCCAGCAGGAGAGGAAGACAAATTAAAGCTTCAGGTGACTAAGATCACACGCTTTTCCCCTCCGAGAAGGAAAGCGGCCCAGAGTGGATGAATGCAGATGAAAAACAGACAGTTTTTTTCTGCTACATAACCCTTAAATACATGACCCACATTTGATTGGTGTTTGTGTGAGTATGTGGTGGCAGTATGTGTGTGTGTGTGGTGTTGTGTTGTGTTGTGGTGTGTGGTGTGTGTGCGCATGTGCATGTGTGTGCACGTCCATATTTATCAGAAATGTATTATTTGGTACCAGCAGTACTGCTCTAGCTGACTAAAACTGAACTGATCCTGTTCAAGGTTGCAATAACTAATATCAGATATAATTAAAGGAACATATCCCTCTAGGACTGGAAAAACAGGAAACGTCCACTCACATCTCTTTGTTGTCCTTATGATCTGGTTTGGTATATTTTTAGCATAATACTGTCTGGGGTTTTTGTATATTATTTTTTTTGTTATTCTGTTCTCTTTTATGAAACTCAGTTTCAAGTTTCGCCTGTTTCAGAGCATTTTTCTAATAGATTCACTGACTCAATAAATCGCACAACACAGAGACAAAACGGGACAATATAACATAATTGAGCTCTAACAAGAAAGCTTTATATAACACACATATGCAACAGTTTGGTTCACATTCAGAAAAGCAATGTCTCAGATTTTGTTTGGGGGAAAAAGAAGGGATTATTTACAACTTTCTCAGCAACACCTTTCCCTACACTTCTCTGCCTTGTTGTCCTGAGTCTAAGTGGGTACTCATATCTGCAGTACTGTACGGTCACTGTCAGAGTCAAGGCAAAAGATGATGAAAGTCACGATGAAGACGAGTGTTTGTCCTTGTGTCATGTTAAGTTGTCTTTGCCCCCCATTGTATTCCCTCTTTGCCTTAAACGACCAAAGGAGAAGCATACGGGACTGGTGCGTCACTCACGTAGGCAGCAACAGCAAAAGAACACAAGTCGACAATCACAGGTCACACTCCCAACTCTGTCCATATGTATATGATATATGCTGTATGTATTTCAAAAGTTAAACAAATGTAGATTTTACTACCATGTCAGTTTGTTTTAAGAGCTGCCATTCTGTATTTGTAAAAAAAACAACATTTCACCGTAGTCCAAAATTTATAAAAATGTACCTACTCTGCTAAAAAGAAAACATCAAGAAATGAATGAATATATCAACAATGTACAAATAGTATACAGAGTTATTTTTAATGGTTTTAGAATATAAGGGTTAAGTTACAAGGACTGCAAGGGCAATAATGGTTCAAGTATATGACAATTCAATGACTAAATACTGCAAAAGTGCAAGTATTTAACAAACTATGTAGGAATTTGACATGCTGCATCCTCTCTCTGGAGGGCATACAGAAAAAACAGTTGTTTACTTATTAACAAATGAGCTGTCCTGTTCAAACATGAATAAATCTCTATGTAAACTAAAGCCAACCGAGCTGTCAAATGAATAAAGAGAAGTTATTTAGTACTAGTTCAATCCAATCCAAGCGCACTTGGGAGCCTGGATGGAATATTAAAAAGTGGCTTGTGGAAAATTTCCATATTGATGTTTCCTATGGTATTTAGCTCCATTGTATTTCTTAAGGTGTGCTATAAGGTCTACATTCACTGGGAGCTCTGCTGATTTAAAGCAAAAGCTGCAGGAACAACAAGAGTATCCTTGGAGTAAGACTGTTATAAATGTCAGAAAAATATCATTACCATGGCAACCTTGGAGAACCAATTACAATAATTCTGTGCAATCGAGAAGACAAGCAGATGAGATCGAATGAAAGGATAGCGTCCAGAGAGTAGAACTTTACTGAAGAACCTTTTACCGGTATTATACCTGGTAACTGCACACGTCAGAGGCACATACATCATGTCAAGCATTTCTCAGAAATAGCTGTCGTCATGTACTACAAAATGTAAAAACAATATTGTATGTGGTAAAGGAGTGGGATGCGTGTTAATTTACATTATGATCCTTCAAACATTAACATGGCATAAAGCATTAGTAAGGTTGTTATGGTAACACAAAGGGTCTCTTTCTATCGCTCATGTTTATGAAAAGCTGAATAACAACTGTAGATCCTGCTTAGCTCCTAACCTTCACAGATACAATGATTTATTTCTTAGTTTTCGGGAGGTTTAGGTAGAGAGGGATACACAGCAGCAGTAATATAACAAAAAATAAAATAAATTTGAATTCCCTGTGCCATTATCCTGTAATTGAAAGTTGTGGCCACAGAAGTCTTGCTTTTAAAGAAAACATGACGGACATCTTCTGTCTGTGTTTTGGTGTTTAAAAGCTGCCATGTTCAGTGCATTAAAACCCTTTTAAGAATTACCATTCAAGTAAAAACAAAAAAAGTCTTTTCTTTGTTTCCTCATTTTAAAAGATATCTCAAAAAGGCTACTGGAATTACTAGCGTTATAGAAGATAACTACAAGTTTTGTCAGGGATGTAGGAAACTCTAAAGACTGAAGGAATACTTTAGAATGACCTCCTCTATCGTTATGTATAATTGTACGCTATTACTGTAGATGTCTCTGTCCCAATGTCAAAGGACAGAAGAGGTTATGTTTGTTCCACTGTGTAAATCTCAGTCTGCTGCATGCTCACTTATACTTAAAAAAGATGCCACTCCACACCAGTTCAATCCACTGAACAAATGTCAAAGACCAGCCGTTGTTTGGCGTCTCATTTAAATACAACATATCCAATATCTACTTTTTCTTTTACCTTCTAGGAAAGCTCTGAGCCGAGGTTATTTATTCGAGCACAGGCTGAGCTTCTTAAGTTGACTTGAGGCGAACCAAGCCTTAAAATCCTCAGCTAACACCACTCCGCTTCACCCACCCCTTTGCCCTGCGCTGGTTACAGTATATCTCCTAAAGACCCATTAGCCCAGTGCTAATGGTCAGTGAGACGGGCCAGCCATGCAGATTGGGTAGCATCTGAATATCACCATTTGGCCGGCCGGCCACCTGGCAAACGGACAGGATGGTGGGTGGGCTAAAGGGAGTTGGCCGGATAGGAGAAATTAGGAACGCAGGCTGGATCTGGCAGAAGGTGCACAGTAGGCGGAGGGGGGCGGTGAAGGG